AATGCTGTGCCTTGAAGGTATGGGAACTACATGGACTGGATTTTCAGAATTTTGTAGATGTTAGCATTCTGTCACACTATGTTCAAAATATCAACAATTCGGTTTAGAAATTCCATTTCCCAGTCTGCCTCTCACACTAAGTAGGAGGAAGGTGAACTGTAGTGGCTGCAGGTAGGTGGGATCAATGGACCCTCACCAAGGGACAGCTCGATGTTTTCCAGAACTTACCCTTCCCTGGAAGAATAAGATGGCTATAAGTTCCCCCCTCTGCAAGAATGCTGGTGCTGGGGTCAGCAGAAGTGTGTGCATGTGTGGGCATGCCTGTGCACAGCCCTGTGAGTTGTGCAAGCGTCTGACACAAAAACGTGCCATCGATACTGTACTAATGTAGAGGGAGAAAGGCATGAGCACTTCAAAGTGGCACCTAATTGAAAAAGCACTGCAGACCAGGTTTCTTGCTCATGTGGGACATGACAATACTTGATGAATCACACTGCAGACAAGATTACCAGTGTTCCTCAGAAGGACACCACCCTCCTTTTCTGTATCCTGACATCTGCTACTAACTACACCCTCTGTCCCAGCCCTGACCTGTGTGAAGCCAAAGCAGCACCGGGGACAGCATGAAGGGGCGTGTGGGAGAGGTGTGGGGCTGGGAGGAGGCGTGCGTGGGCAGCGCATCAGAGCTCTGTGGGACACAGCACATACACGAGCAGACAAGAGGCTCTTCTGCAAAGCACGTGATCAGGTATAACACTGTAGGGGCTGCATCTGAAACCCAATGCCAAATGTGTCACATATAAGGCCTAAACAGCACTTCTTGAACTACAAGTTGTCTTCTGGGTACCTGAAAGTCCCTTTCGGCTAGTGTCAAGAAATACCAGGTTTCCTTATGTTCCTCTGCCAAATGTATCCAGGGTGGAGATGCAGTTATATGGCGAGAAAAGGGCAAGTTTCCACAGCAACCTATGCTTTACCTCAATCACCTAGACGTCTTAAGAAGTGGGTTCACTAAACTTCCTCACTGATTCAGTATTGATCAGAAATCTTGTTTTGTTGGGACTTTGAAACTGGAAATCTTTCTGAAATGCTGTTTCTTGGCTCATCAAGAACAGTTGGATTATGGAGCAGGTCCTATTTTGGTGATCTGGGACTGGTTCTCTAGGTCCACGATCATTATTTGTGCCGCCTCTGCCAAAGGCAACACAGACCATTGCCCATGAAGGTAATTAACCTCCCTCTTTTTTTACTATAATTTAAAGCTGATTAAGTGCACGACCTTACAAATTTGACCTGACGAATCAAGGTTCCTTTGAGGGAAAGAGAACAACAACGGCCTTGATGATGGTTGGTGGCAGATGGAGTGTCCTGAGGAAACTGCAAATGCTTGAAATTAGTGCTTGAGGGCCCATCAGGTCTGCCTGGGAACAGATACTAGGGTGGGAAGGCGGGTCAGCCCAATGGGGAAATGAAGGTGTCTGCTCACGACATTGCAGCATGAAAGGCTCCCAGGGCCAATGACCACAGAGGCTGTCTCCTCAGCAACAAGAGTGGTCAGTGCCTGGCCCATAGCAGGTACTCACTACAAATTTGTGGATGAACGGAGGCCTGCCCACTTGATCTGTTTCATACAGATTTACCCTGGTCACCATTCGTTTGTCCGTCATCCATCCATTGTCTCTCTCTATCCAGTATTTATGTGTTTGTCCTATGGGAAGTGCTAAACCATGGGCTACAGGAGAAGTGACGGTAAACGAGAGATGGCCCTTTATAAAGAACCAGTCACTCTGTGTTTCAGTGGATTTTCTAAGGGCAGGGGAATTAGGGACGGGTATTACAGAAGGGCGCGAACACAAGCTGCATTCCATATGCCTTCTAACCCACAGACTCTTACTGCTCCTGTTGAAGACTCACAGTCTGTGTGCTTCTGAAAGGATATTTCCACCTTCCTGTCCAGGTGTGGAGGAAGCACTGGCCACTGCCTGTGCAGGAGGCTGGGCTAGTTTCACGGGTAATTCCATGTGAAACAATGTCCTGCTTGTTTTCTCCCATCCAAGTGCTAACCAGGCCCAACTGTGCTTAGCTTCCGAGATCAGACGAGATCAGGCGCGTTCAGGGTGGAATGGCCGTGGATGATCCTGCTTGTTTTCTTCGTAATGAACCAAACTAAAGCTTCTTCCAACACTTTCCATTCCTCCTCGCCTCCTTTCACAGGATGTTCCAAGAGGGCAAATGCTTAGGTCTTGGGCCACTTCGAGGTTGTAATTCCCTGGACGAGAAGAACTTCCAGCATGGTGCTCTCAGGTGAATCCGGGCCACTTGTTAGGGTGTTCACACCAGGAGAAGCAAGCCATTCTCCACCACCGTCTCGGCCACACCCACACCTCCAATTTCCTCTTGCTGTACTTAGAATAAAAAACACTTCTCCTTTCTGGCATCATTTCAAAGAGAAGAACATATATAAAGGGCCCAATGAAGAATCTTGGAAATTGCTCCTCCTCAAAGAGCAACGTGACCATGCATCCTAGGACACAGAGCTGGGTCTGTGTTCTAGCGGATGCTCTAAAATGTGGAAGAACCATTCTTTACTATTAGTAAGTCAGACTCCTGTGTTTGCTTTAATTCTACTTAGCTATATGTTTGTTCTTGTAGACTCCAGGTTTCTTTCCTTGACACAGTGCTTTTCTCTAAGTGCAAATCTCTCATGTGGTGACATTCCAATCTGGGCTGTTGTGTCCCATGTGCCACTGTGACCTGCAATGTGCTTTTTGAGACCATTCCTCTTTGCACAAGGTCACCATGGTACAATACACTCTCTAGGCATAGTACAGTCACATGACCCTCTTTCCTTAGTGACTACACCTGCAGTCCCAAAGTCACAGCGCTGAGAGCACCGCATTCTGAGATCATGATGCCCTTGGCCATGAAACCAAGGCACATAGATGTGATCTGCCCAGTCACTCAGTAAGTCAGAAAGCAAACTGAATAAAGGGTGAGGTAAGACGCCCTATGTACCTTTTAGTGCCTTATCCAAAAACCAGACTGTGTCCTTGTCATATAAATGCACCTACTTTGGAAGTAAGTAGTTGTAGGTAGAACTTCTGGTTAAGGTTTCAAAAGGCCACTAACAAATCAGAAACCACAAGGTAATAAGCAGTATCACATTAACACTTTAGTTAAATGCCCCTAACTCACACAATGCCAATTATTACAGCTCACCGACATCCTGGTTACCGACAAGAAGAAAACTCGAGGGAAAAATGCACCCACTGAAAATATAAACCTTGAACATCTCCTTTCCTGGCTCCATGACATTTTCAGTAGAACACCCAAGCACCAGTTCCTTCTACACAACACTCCTGTGCCCACTGGCACATGATGGGGGGGGGTTACTGACGAAGCGTGTGCATGTGTGTGATACCAGACGTTTTAGGGACGATTCTGTCCAGCACAATACACATGATATATGCTTAACATAGTCGTTTTCTACCCTGATTCTTCTTTTTTTTGGGTAACTTTTATTTCCTGATCCTGGCTTAACGTAAAAAGTAGTTTTATTTCCCACCTTCCCCGATGAAGGCAGAGTCAGTGGGTGGGTACTGCTGGGGACTGATTCCGGCTTCATGGAAGGGACGCATTCTAGGGTCAAAGTTGCCTGAAGACAACTGAACAGGACTTTCCGAACCAAGGAGTGGCCTGGTCTTACAAGTATTTTCCTCTAGAGGCTAAATGACCACACGTTCGTGACGCACTGCTCCTTCCAACGCTAAGAAGAAACAAACTAAGTCATCAGCAGCCCTCCTGCCACCCAGCTCCAGGTCAAGAAAGGCACAGAGAAGACCAACAAATAATACTGAGGTGGCGCTTTGGATGCAGGAGACTTTGAGGTACCAGGAGAAGAGTACAGACGGCCTCATCTGGCCAACGGGGAAGGTGAGGCACAGGGACCGATCAAACACTCTGTCACAGGTGAGAGGGGATTTAGTGGGGAAGAGGAGGGTGAAGTATACTGCCAACAATAGTGAGCACAGCTCTCAGCAGCGGAGAGGCAACTCCAGCTCTGCAGCCACCTCAGTCGATTAGTTGCCCCCACAGCCATTGTGCTGATTCCTTCACAGACGGAATCCTATAGTCCGAACTCCCTGGCGCCCACCCTTGGGGCTGCATCCAGGGCTGGAGGTCTAGGCAGGATTGGCCTGGGCAGGCACATAAGGTAGCTCTGCTTCTTAAGGCATGGCTGCAGTGAGGCGTGAGCTCCACTTTCGGAAGGTGGGCATCAGACCCCGCCTTCCCTGAAACTACCCTGCAAGAACCTTAACGGAGTGGAACACTGCTGCTTGAGGAACCCGCCTCCCCCAGGGGCTGGGGGCTTCCACTAAAGCTAAACAGCATTACCAAATCATCTGATATTTGTGTGTGTGTGTGTGTGTGTCACTTGGGAGAACAGGAGAGAAAAGACACAAATTGATCACTGTTTGCAGATGATTGTCTAACTAGAAAATCTAGGGGAATTGAAAAAAAAAACCTATCAGAACTGAGACCAGAATTTGCTCAAATGGCCGATTAAAAGTCAAGCATTCAAAAACCAATAGTTTTTTTGGTCACTTAGGTGTGGCCTTACACCTTAGAAACACTGTGCTTTTCTGTGGGGTCCCCAAGCTTTGTGAAACTTGCCATATTTTAAAAGATGGAAGTGAGCCAGGGAGATGCCCCCTCAGGTGCAGTAAGGGCAGTGGTCTCAGACCCCAATATGTGAAAGGTGCCTAGGGTGAGTGAGCCCCCCTGCACTCTCTCCTAGGGGCACCCTCTCCCGCTTCCCGACCCAGCCCCTGTCTCCCAGCTCTTTTCTATTTCATCCCAAAAGACACACAAGAGAGCTTGCAAAAGCCGGTGCGGGAGCCGCCACAGGCGGGTATGGTCAAAGACTGTGCTATGTCATTTCCATACGATGTCAGTTTTTAAAAGCAAATGCTGCGTACTGAAACGTCTGGCCTGTTGGACCTCTTATTGCCTCATGGGTTAGAAGCCTCGAGAGGTGCTTGTGCTGCGCCCCAACTTGGGACTCCCACGGCCTGGTCAAAGTGTACAAGGGAGGCCCCACAGGGATGAGCGTGGCAGTCTGGCCCTCGAAGGACCGCGGTCATTTGCGGTCCAGGCTGGCGTGCAGCTGGGCCTCCCGCACCATGCGGTCGAAGGAGCGAGTGTTGGTTTCCTCGCGCACCTTCTCGCGCACGTGGAAGGAAGCCCGCGCTGTGGAGCGGGCGCTTTCCAGCGCGCTGCGACGTTCCCGCGACAGCTGTTCGCTGCGCTCCAGCTTGCGCCCGATGGCTTGGAGCAGCTCCCGCCGACGGCAGTCTTCGTCCTTCTCCACCTTCTCCTTTTTGGCACGCTGGGCTCGCTCCTTCTCCAACCTACTTTGGCCCACGCGCCTCGCCTTTTGCTGCACCGCTTCCTCAGCCACTTGTGTCGCGTGTTGCAGCCGCCGCTCTCCTGCCCGGGCGAGCGCCTCAAGGTGTGCCTGATGCTCGCGCTCTTTGCGCTCCGCTGCCTCCTTGGCCCGCCGTCCCTGTAGCTCCTCTCTCCGGGCCCGCTCCCGCAGCTCCCGGGTGCGCTGCTCCACCAAGTGCTCGTAGTTCTCCTGCGCGCGACCCATGCTGGCCTCCAGGGAGCTCCGCAGGCCCTCGCGCTCCTCGAACTCCTGGCGGGCCCGACCTTGAAGCAGCGCCTGGTGGCGCGCCTGCTCGGCCCGGCTCAGCTCCCGCTTCTCCCGCTGCAACTGGTCTCCCTGCCGCTGCTTGGTACAAGCCGCGCGCTGGGCGCGCTCCTTAAGGACCTGCTCAGCCCGCTCGCGCCCTTGCTTCAGGCCCTCCTCCCGCTGCTTTAGGTTCTGCTCTTGCTGAAGCTTGCGCAGCCGGTCCTCCTGGGCCGCGCGCTCCGCCCGCTCGCGTCGCAGCAGGCTCTGGCGCTCCGCTAGCTCCCGCCGCCGCTCTTCGCTAAGCTCGCACTGGCGCTGCCGCCGCCGCGCCGCCTCGCGCTCCTCGCGGCCCCGGCGGCCGCGCCGCTCCTCCACCTGAGCTGCCCAGGCTCGACGACCCTGCTCCAGGGAGCGCCGCTTCTCGCGTTCCTCGCGCTCCCGCCGCTGCTCTGCGCGCACGCGCTGCTGCTCCCACTGGCCGTGCGCCGCGGCGCGCTGCTCCAGCAACAGGCGCTCCTCCTGGTGCCGCGCCAGCATCAGCGCTGCGATCTTCCGGTCGCGCTCTGGAACCCCGCGCAGTCCCCGCTCCGTGCGCACTTGGCGCACGATGCGCTCCACGTGCTGAGTTGTCTGCGGTGAGTGGCTCAGATCGCCGAGGCTGAAGCTGCGGGCCGTAAGTGGCACTAGGGCCAGGGCAGACGGACGGCCCAGAGGGTTGGGGGCTGAGGATAGTGACCCCGCGGGGCAGCTGCTCCGGGCTGAAGCCCGCGGCGGCCAGCGCAGCTCCCGAAGGCTCTCCCCGCTGTAGGATGACGACGACGCGCCGGACTCAGAACTGAGGGCGCCTTCTCGGCGGCGGGACAGTGAGTCTAGTGAGTGGCTCTTTCTACCCGTCCGCGAACTCGCGGGAGGAGCTTTGGGTCGGACCGGGGACGGACTGGAGGACGCCTTGCGGGCCGCACGGGGTGCGGGCGAGGCCGGGAGGCTGGCGCTGCTGCAGCTGCTGCTGCTGCCCGCGCTGGGGGCCGAGGCCGCGGCGGCCGCGTGGCCCAACGGCGTGAAGAGGCGCCGCTTTTCCTCGCGCACTATGCGCTCGCGCTCGGCCCGGCACTGCTGTAGCTTTGCGCGCCGCTCGGCCTCGTATGCCTCGTACAGGCCGGTGGCCACTCGCATGGACCGGCCTGGGGCCTCGCGCACCAGGTCAGCCAAAGCCCGCGGCAGCAGCTCCACTGGTTTGACGGCGCAGCGGGCGCAGGCCTCGAGAGAACGAGGGCTGGTTAGTACATAGCGGCTGCCCTCGGCCTCTGGGCAGTCGAAATTGAAGAGGTCGAGGTGCAGCAGCGGGGATTGCTCCCGCCGCCCACCTTCTGTTGCGCACTGGACTTCAGCCTTGCGGGGCACCGCCGCGGAGGCCGAGGCAGAGGCCGAAGAGGCTGCGGGCTGCTGGGCGCCCTGCGCATCCGGGGGCACGGACGCAGTGGCTCCGTTTCCTCCCGAGCCTCCAGGCTCGGCTTCCGCCTTCTCTTCTTCAGGTACGGGGTCCACCATGGCTGAAAGGTGTCCTTTTGTGGAGTTTCTGCGGATGACAAAGGAGGTTCATCGCAGGATACATTTGAGAGCGGTTCTCCCCTCCCCATTCATAACCTCCCTCCCCGGTTCCAACTTAATCCGCTTTGGATTAGGCTCAGAGGCCCGGTGGAACGTAAATCATAACGCGGATGCACAGAAAACCGAGGCAGTAGGGGCGGGGGTTCGGTGCCGGTGCACAGAGAGAGAGCAGCTGGATCTCCCCGAGCGCCGGAGTTCGGGCAGAGGCCGTGGCCAAGCTCCCCAGGGCGTCTGGCCCGTTAGATGCATCCTTCCTGCTGTAAGTTAAAATTAAAAGATTGAGGTGCGGGGAGTAGCCGGCCAGGGAGGCGCTGGAGGATTCCTGGGAGGATTAGTCCATTTGTTTGTAGCTTAGGCGGGCAACCAGGGATGCAGCTTTGCAAGAACAAAAAAGAAAGAGGCCTGTTCATCCCCCACAGTGCTTTGCTGCGAGGACCCTATTTGCCTAAGGAAGAAGTTATGGTTGATTTCCCCCTGCCAAAGGAGACCCAGGCATGGGGCCCAGGGGTGATGGAAGAACTGAGAAATGCCTCAGTCCCCAAAAGGCCTCTCCGGGAGAGACGATCGATCTTCCTCCTGCCTTTTGGGTAGGGGTTGTTGCTAGGAGCCGTGCCCGGCTCCTCCCTGAGCCCCCTCCGGTGTTTGCCGGGGATGGAGAAGGCGCCTAGGTCCTCCCAGATGCACCCGATCCCCTCCAAGTCTGATGTGCTAAAGGCACCATACACCCCAGTCTAGGCTCCGACACCTGCCCACGGTCATCCTTCCAGTCCCCCCAGCCTATCCCAGCGAGGTAGATTCCTGGGTCTCATCCAGCCTGGCCGCTCCCGGGGTCTGGGCCGGCTCACTTACCGCACGTCCCGGGCTTGGGCCCCGCGCCGAGGGCTTTTGTTAGCAGCTCGCCGCTCTCCCTTGCACCTCTTCAGTCCCGGTGCCGGCGGGGTCGAGTTGCCGCTGGATGCAGCCGCGATAGTGGCCCCAGCGGGCACCGCAGGCACCGCCAGCGTCTCTCCATGGGGCCCGCACACGCTACCTACACGCGGGAGGGGGAGTGCAACAAGGTTTCCCTAAAATAACGCAGCTCCGCTCCCTTCCCTCTCACTGATTCTTAAAAAAGGAAGCGGTTCCATCGCTTCTGCATCCACCACCGCCTCTCCAACCCGCAAGTACCGCAGGTCTTTCTATGCCCCGGGCGCCTCCTGGTGGACACTCAAGGGTGTTGGTTTGTTCGCTTAGAGGGTGACAGAAGAGAAACTTAAAATACATACGTATATGTAATATATAAAAATATATACTATATAATATTTCTTTCAGTGCTTCAACTGGGTAGAATGAAGGGATAGTTTGGTTTGTTTCTCAAGAGGATAGTGATTAATGGAGTAGAAATATGGCTCCCGATCCAAATTATGAGGTTATTTATAAAGAAAAACTGAGAACATTCAGACGGGTTTGAGGCAGGCATAGGATGTGTGACTAGTGTTTAATGCAACATGTTAGGACTGCCTGGTTCAAGATAATACAAATTAAAACCAGTTAGTGCCATGTACTGAGAATTATTTTGAGACACCTCTTCTTTACCCCCCCCCCCCGCCCCTTTTGAGTGACGGTGGCCCTGGGAGACAGATGGGAGGAGTACTTGAGGGAGGGGTTGGAGGGTGGGTGGGATATAACATTAGAAAGCATGGCGAGCCATGTTGTTAATAGCCTTGACATTGTCAGGCAGTGGGTGGGGGCACAGATCTCTGAAATGGAGAGTAAAGCAATACTCAGAGATAGCTTGGCTCTCGGTGTGAGGAGCAGTTGAGGGTCAAGGATGACTTATAGGTGCAATGAGGTGGCTGGGTATACCACAAACTGAGAGCTTGGATCCAAGAGGGAGGATTAGGTGCTTGGTTTGGAGGGCCAGGGGAGGATGGGTTCCTTTTGGACCACTTGAGCTGGAGGTGTTGGTGCTCAGCTGGTGACTGGGTAAGCTGTGTCAGAGGCCTGGACTGGACCTAGAGCCTCTGGTCACCATATTTGAGGTTCCCCAAACCAACAGAGTGACTGAGATCCCCCAGGGAGGTCAGGTGGAGCAATAGGGAGGTGGGCAGGGCATTGATGGGGTGGCATTGATAAGGGAGAAGGAGCCCCAAAAAAGGGACCAAGAAGGATTGGCGGGAGAGTGTGGGCTCGTGGACACTAATAGTAGAGCACTTCAGAAGGAGGGTGTGCCCTATTGTTAAGGCCGCAGAGGTCCAGAAGGTTTTGCCTGGAATTAAATGCCCACTGAAACTAGTGGTGAGAGTATCTTTGGTGATACCAGCAAAAAATGTGGCAGCATTGTGCTGGGGGCAGATGCCAAACCACAGGAGGCCAAGGTACAATGGAAGGTGAGAAAGAGAGTTACTGACTCTTGACATTTGGATGGCATTTGTTACAGACGGAAGGCTTTGGGATTTTGTACTACTTCCATGTGAATAGGGTCATAGGTGCTGACAGAAGAAGACATGAGACTCCTGGATCAGAAACAAAGGACTTTGTTACCTGTGGTACAGAGGGCAGTATGAGGTTCATGTTTTTGTTGGTTCACCTCGTTCCCCAAGTCCCATGGAGCAATGAAGAGGTGGGCTCAGATAGATTCGGCACATACGGTGGGTATGTGTCACAGCTGAATGACCTTAAGCTTCTTAGTAAACCCTAATCTTTTATTTATGTTTGCTTATTTATATGTATATTTATTTATTGAAAAGATTTTTAGTTATTTATTTTTAGAGAGAGGGTAAGGAAGGGAGAAAGAGAGGAAAACATCAGTGTGTGATTGCCTCTCAAGCGCCCCCTATGGGGGACCTGGCCTGCAACTCAGGCATGTGCCCTGACTGGCAATAGAACCGGTGACCCTTTAGTTTGCAGGCTGGAGCTCAATCCACTGAGCCGCACCAGCCAGGGCTATTTATTTATTTTTATCCTAACCTGAGGACATACTTATTGATTTTAGAGAGAGGGAAAGGGAGAGAGAGGAAGAGAAACATTGATGTGAGTGGTGAACCTGCTTCTTAGGCATGTGCCACTCCCAAGAATCAAACCAGTGACCTTTCAGTTTATGGGATGAGGTTCCGACCAAGTGCTCCACACTGGCCAGTGCAAACCCCAGTCTTTTAAAGGGGACTCCTAGCAAACCTGTTCAACTTTTTCCCCAGAGGAAGGCTTAAGAATCAGACACACTAATCGTTCAAATGCCAGCTCAGGCAGGCTGTGTGTTTTGAGACAAGTTTCTTAGCCCCTCTGAGTTGCAGTTTCCTCAGAAGAGGAGTGCATACTATATAGGTGGAGATATACTGTCTACAGAAAATAGTTACCATCTAGAGAAAATAATTCATTAAATATCTTGTTAGATCCTTTAATGTAACACCCCACTGACAGTTTGAGCTGCTGTAACAAGTTGTCATGCACCGAATGGCTTAAACAACACTTCATTTCTCACAGTTCTGGAGACTGGGAAGTCCAAGGTCAAGGAGCTGGCAGATCTGATGCCTGGTGAAGACTCACTTTCTGATTTTCAGGGGCCATTTTCTTGTTGTACCCTCACATGGAGGAAACCAGAGAGAGAGAGAGAGAGAGAGAGAGAGAGAGAGCACAAACTCTCACCTTTGTTTTTCTTATAAGGGCACTAATACATCACGGGTCCCCACGACCTAATCACCCCCAAGGGCCGCATTTCCAAATACTGCTACACTGGGTTTAGGGTTCCAACACGTGACTAGGAAAGGGGGGTGGGACACAAACATTCAGTCCATAGCACAGTTATTTTCGACCAAAGACCATATACTGTGTAGACATTGTTATCATTTCAGTTCCATCTCATGAGCCTCAACCACCGCCTCAGCTCTGTGCGCTTGTGTTTATTCCCCTTCTTAGCATAATTCTGTTCCCAGAGTAGAGATCATTCACTCCAAAGTTCTAAAGCAGGAGTTGGTGGTAAACTATGACTTGTGGGCCACATCCACTGCCTGTTTTGTAAATCAAGCCTTATTGGAACACAGCCATGCTTACTTGTTTACATATTGTCTGCACTGCTTTTCAGGAAACTGTGGCAGAATTGAATCGTTTTGACAAAGATTGTATATTCCCAAAGCTTAAAATATTTACTATTAGGCTCTTTACAGAAAAACGCTACCAATACCTGTTATAATGACTGATAACAGCTTGTGGCAGTTATCAATTTATTGCCTGGCTCCTCTAGAGTCACTCTTTACTACCTGCTCTGGGATAATGGACTGAATATGCATTTTCTACTTGACAATGAGCACGATGTTAAGATTGGCCAGTAGAGGGAGCTGGAGGGATGTTGCAGGAGAAAGGTGCTTGTCTTTCTGGTTCCTGTGTGCTGTGCTTTTTGCCTTTTCTTGCTACTGCTGCTGCATGACGAGAGGTGCAGGTGTGTGGGGACATCCCGTGGCATCCTGTTCCAACTACGTGACTGGAGCAGTCTCTCGGTGACCTCGCAGCTCAGGTGCGGGCCTGGTGAGCACCTTCCCTAGTGAGCCTCTCTGAGGCAGACACCATGTGCTCTAAGCCCTGTGCCCTGACTGCCTCTCACCAGCCTCACCCCACCCTTGAAGATTATTTCCTGCTTGTCTGGCAACTATAGAGCAACTATGTCCCCAACACAATTCTGCGCTGCCCCTGTGGGCTTCAATCACACCTTCTCCAGTGAGGTCTGAACCCCAATCTTTCTGAAGGGGCTCCCCTTCCAAGTTGTCCTTCCTTGATCTCCCTTGGCCTCAGGGAGCCCTTGCGAGTTCTCTTTATATCTTTATATTTACTCACAGCTTAATGCCTCTTTATATTAAGCTTCTTGTGCTTAAGTTACTATGTGGGTTCTGTCTCCTGATTAGACCCAGAGTAATACAGGGCGTAAAGTGTGCTCATTCCTAATTCTCGCGACTAAAGCCTTCAGAAGG